CATATATATATATATCAGGAAAGTTACATATAATGACTGAATAAGTTGTAATATTGATGATATGATATAGTTGGGTTTTAACGTTTTTTGAAGAGTTTGTTCCAAAATATGTTGGTAGTAAAATATATTCATTTCGTGTTTCTAGCAAGATAACAATAGAAATGCTGAAGACAAAAATTATTCAATCATTAAATTATGATAGTTTGAATTTCACGGTGAATATAATGCGTTGTTGTCTTATAGACGATAGATTTATTGCAACCCATGTTAATGATGATGAGATTACATTAATCATTTTAAAGATGACATGTAGCAAGCCATTGATTATTTATGCTGAACTTTTTTCTCTACCCTCGATGAACCAAATTATGTTAGCACAACAGTTCAATGTAGAGTTTTGACATCAATAGCACTTGAGACTGATGAGGCATATTAGGAAGCATAAAACTTGGTCCATTTATCTTCTCTTAAATTATCATCATATATTAATGTTTAAAAAAAAATGATTCAACCTATACAAATATAACACATCAACACAACATTTTACTCTACATTTAATAGGATTAACACAAAGGTTCCCCCAATAAAATTCTTGAGGACTATGACACAGTGGATAGTCAATCTAGTTTAAACTCTAGTGATAATGATAGTTTTTAGATATTGAGAACAATGTAGAATTAGATAATCAAACTTTTCTAGGTCATGAATTAATGTAATAACGAGCACTTGTTAACTCACGTATAATTGGTCAAATGATGTCTATAAATGATCATGTTTGATATTGTCTAACTACACAAGAGTGTGATCAAAATATTGCATTTGATGATCCTTTTGAGAATACAACAATATTTCAGGAAGATAATATTCCAGATGAGCATGTTAATTATGCTCTTTCCAAATAAGGTCGGACTACAATTTGCATTATTAGGTTGGTTTATTAAGAATAATGTACAATATAAAATGATTTATTCTAACTAAAATAGATACACAAAATAGATACACAATTGTTTGCATGCATCATGCTCATTCATATAGTCCTTGTCGTTGGCGAATGCGCATCAAGTAAGAAGTGATTAGACGGGGCTTGAAGAATAAGTATTGCTGCTTAACATACATGCACACATATTTATTGAGAGGACATAGACAATGCACGTCAAGATTTATAAGTTATTTCATATTATCTACTATTCACCAACAATTTAATTTAAAACCAAAAGAAAATATAGGGTGGATGAAGACATTTAGAAACATATTTGATAGTTGGGCTCAGTCATATAGATCTCTCTATGACTATTTTTTCAGTCATGAGAGGATCAATATATTGAATACAAGTGAGACAAACTAATCGCTTCAAACGTTTATTCTGGGCATTTGGTCGTTCAATCAGCAGATGGGCTTACTGTCGGCCTGTAGTTAGAATGGATGGAACATTTTTACTAGGAAACTAAAAGGGGACATTATTTATCGTAGTTGTAGTTTAGGGAAATAATGGACTTTTTCCATTAGCATATGTAATCTATATTGGATATGCTTTCTACAAATCCTGCACATAATGTTCCGATGGTTAATGGTAGACATGATTTATGTATAATTTCTGATAAAAATGCTAGAGTAGTATGAGGATGCCGAGAAAGTTTTCCTTGGGCTAGTCATGAGCATTGTTTGAGACATCTAAGAGAGAACTTCAAAAAGCTTTAAGAAAAATGAGTATTTCAAATGTTGAATCTACAAGCCAAAAGTGTACTCGATGAGTAGTACTAATGAGATGCGGGTGTTTAATATTGCATTCGATCAGCTTTTCCATAAAAATCGGCTTGGATGTTCTTTCACATAGCATTTGACCAATTAGTTTGAGCTTGGGTTGTCTAATCGTTTTTTTGTCCGCAACGTGGCTCGATGAGTTTGGTTTTACTCGATCAGACAAGTAGGCTTCATGATTTGATAGAAACTCACATTCATCACACTCTTCCTTTCTAAACCGTTATAACTTTTCAAGATCCTTGCTAACACATTTTTATATACACACACATAAAAATTATTTTAAAAAGTGAGTTTTTAAAATTTTATGAGATCAAAACATTATACATGTAAATATAAAAAAAATTAAATTTAGATATAAAAATACATAAAATTGGTGGTATGCATGCATATTTCTTATTTCAAAAAAGTATTATGGGAAATTTACATACCATGCACACAATCCTTATATATTTCCATATCAAATACCTAAACTTTTATACTTATAAATATAACATTTTGGCACTTTAAATTTTTGCATGAAAAGATATATCTCACTCTTACAAAATAATAATAGTAATTACACAACAGAATTTGGGTATGAGATGCAAATACATAAGAATTATATGCTCTTTATGTATATACCCAATTCTCATCTGCCAATCGCGCCGCTCCTCCCGCCCCTACAAACCCATCCACGTCCGCCCCACTGCGCGTACACATTCCCTCCACATATATTACCTCACACCATTAAATTCCACCATTCCCCACCAACACTCCCCGCTTCAGCAGAGAACCTTATAAAATCAATCCTTCCTTTCTCCCTCGTCTCCCCCCTTCCTCCTTCCGGTCCATGGCCGCCGGCACCGTCCACCCCGGCCGCATTCGCCTCCTTAACCCCATCAAAACCCACCCCCCTTCTCCCCCCAAACCTCCCTCCGGCCCCGTAATCTACTGGATGTTCCGCGACCAACGATGCAGCGACAACTGGGCCCTAATCCACGCCATCCACCTCGCAAACCAATCCTCCGCCCCCATGGCCGTCGCCTTCAATCTCTTCGACCGCTTCCTCAACGCTCACGCTCGCCAGCTCGGCTTCATGCTCCGCGGTCTCGATCTCCTTCGCCGTCGCCTCCGCGATCTCAGCATCCCCTTCTTCCTTTTCCGTGGAGACGCCGTCGATACGATTCCCAAATTCGTTCGTGAATGCGGTGCGTCGGCCCTCGTTACGGATTTCTCCCCGCTCCGATCGGTGAGGGAATGGAAGAAGGAGATATGTGAGAGGGTGGGAGAGGGGGTTAGGGTTTATGAGGTTGATGCGCATAATGTGGTTCCGGTGTGGGTCGCGTCTGATAAATTGGAGTATGGTGCGAAGACGATCAGGAAGAAGATTCAGAGGGCTTTGGTGGAGTATCTGGTGGAATTTCCTGAGATTTCGAAGCCGGGTTCGGAATGGGGGTTGGATGATCCGAAGGATGTGGATTGGGAGGAGCTGCTGACCGAGGTTCTCAGGTATGGAGTACTGGTAGGGTTGTAAATTTAGCTGGAGGATCGTTAATCGTTCGAAAATTGGTTCGAACTTCGGCTCTGATTGAGATCGGATCTAAATTTATAGTCTAAAATTTCGGAATAAAATTTTTTTGAGTTAATTTTGTGCTGTTCCAACTTCGGATTGAAATTGAATCGTTGGGGTCATAATTTTAGTAAATTGAGCTTGAAGATAGTTAATAGCTCAAAAAATTAATTTGAATTTTGACTCGGATATTGGTCGGATTGAAATACATGATGAGCTAAAAATTTTTGATCGAGTTTTTTTTTAGATTCAATGTATGAGCTAAAAACCGATTGGGATTTGATTGAAGGAAAGAAAGATTTTTATTAGGAGAGATATAGGAGGTTATATTATTTTATTTTTGAATCCATACCATCCAATTCTTATTTTTTAAAAAATTAACATCCATACTTTAATTTACATTTATACCAGCCAATTCTTTCATGTCACTCACCTTAACCTTTTAAGAATTGAAATAAAAACACCTTTCGGATAAGGTGGCGTGGTACGTGGCCTGTGTATGAGAGATAGAAGCTTATATGTTAGATATGTAAATACTTAAAATTTAAGGGGTATGTATCTAAGGGCTCGTTTGGGGCAGCTTATTTAGTGCTGTGGCGTTTTATAAACGCACCTGACCTGTTCGAGTAAACTGTGTTTTGACAGCTTATGCATTTTAAAAACGCTGAAAATAGCGTTTTCACACCGCACCTATCTAGGTGCAGTGACATCTTTCTGGCAGCGGTCTGACTTTTTTAAAAAAATAAAAAATTCGTAATAACCACCGCACCTAGATTATCAGTAGATTATTTTTAATGAACTTATCAGCAGATTATTCAATAAACTGCAGCTGCACTCAAACAGACTCTGAATGTTTATTATTTTTATTTATGGTTTGGATGAAGAAGGAAAAGACTCTTTTGTTTTCCACTTAAAAATTTAGAAGTTAAAAAAGAATTTTTTTTCTTATATGTTTTGAATTGATACGTATTTCTTTTTATAAAAAAGCGTTTCAAATAATAGTTTAGGTAAAATTTTAAGTTTTGCAGTCACTATATTGACTGCTACTTCATAAGTTAAATGTAATTAACTAAAAAATACAAAATTTGTTCATTGTTTATATGAGAATAAGTTAGTTATTATTATTATTATTATTGTTATTTTAATTATATTTAAGTATTTTAAAACTTTAATTATCTCATATGCATTACAGCTGTGAATTAATAAAGTTTTGCTTTATTATTATTATATTTATAGTGTAATATTTCTTTTTGTTTGGTTCGCTAGGCAGTTGAAGTTTTGTTTTTTATTTATTTCTCAATCAGTATAATTACATACATAGCTTTTTATATTTTATTTTTTATAAAATTAGCATTTTGATTATTTCATAAAATAGCAATCTTTTGAGGGCCATGTATGTAATTGCGAAAAGACTGATGATGTTTGAACAATATTTTTGGTTTCAGGGAAGGATGTGAAGTACCCGAGATAGAGTGGTGTAAACCCGGGGAGGATGCAGCCATGGAGGTTTTGATGGGCGACAAGGAGGGATTTTTGACGAGAAGGCTGAAGAATTACACTAGCGATAGAAACGATCCGCTGAAGCCTAAAGCTCTCTCCCGCCTCTCTCCTTACCTCCATTTCGGCCAGATCTCAGCCCAGCGCTGTGCATTGGAGGCACGCAAACTCAGAAAAGCTCATCCCCAGGTCAGCTTCATGATTCCTTTTTTGAAGTTTTGGAGGGTAACTATAATGTGAATGGCGGAATGGAAGTATTTTTTGCCTTGTGATTACATGTTTGGTGATTGGTTTGGACATAATTTATAAGAAATTGATTTTACTGTGGAAATTATGACAATTGTATATTTCTCTTTATGAATCTTTGCTCAAACATAATAAAATTGCTAAAATATGCATACAATATGGCGGTGTTTACATTATCAATTTTATTTGTTATGACATATTTGTTGTGAATGGAGATTTGCTTAGTAGTATTCCAGCTCTAAATTTTCTATCAATGTGAACATTTGCGATCAACTTAGTAACTTTGCGCACGTTAATTTGAACAGACGTTTACGTACATACCACCCATTACCTATCTACACCGAACTTTGCTTTTTTACATTTATAACACTCAAATCTTTCATATTACATCATAAAAACCACTATTTTAAGTTTTAAAAAAGTTAAATATACCTCATGCATAATTAATGTGGGTAACAATTTGAAGTTTAGGTGTTGGATATGTAAATACATAAGAATTGAGTGGTATGCATGTACTAAAATGTGTTAGAGTTCCTGTTATAGTATTTTTTAAAATTTCAATGCAGGCAGTTGATGCTTTCTTGGAGGAATTGATTGTGAGGAGGGAACTGGCAGATAACTTTTGCTATTACCAACCACATTATGACTCATTGCAAGGTGCTTGGGATTGGGCTCGTAGAACCTTGATGGATCATGCTCGTGATAAAAGGGAGCATTACTACACGTGAGTAAGTCGATTCATTTGATATATTGATTCACAGTTACTTTGGATTAAAGCAAGATATACTTCTGTTTTCTTTTTTGTGCTTAAGCTCAAAGCATATTGTGACTTCTGTTTTTTAAATGTTCTCCTTTTACTCCATTAGCATGCTACATAATGTGTTTATTCTACATAATTCTTTGGGGCATTTACATACATATCATAGAATTACTACATATTTACATATCTAGCACCTAAACTTTACTTTTTTACATTTATACCTTTATACCACCCAAAGTTTACTTTTTTACATTTATACCACCCAAAGCTTTCATATCACATCAAAAGTACCACTATTTTAACTTTTAAAGATTGAAATGCAAATGTTCATGCATAGAGAATGTGACATATATGTAAAAATGGAAGTTTTGGTGTTATATATGTAAATACATAAGAATTGAGTGCTAAGTATTGCATCGACCAGTTTGCTTGATATCCAAGTTACCCAAACTTGGATACAGAAACCAAGCATTATTGTTAACTTCAAAAATATGGAAATACAATCATACCAGAAGAAGTAAAACTAGCAACAAAAACGATACAAACACCACTAGGAATGTATCCCAAGAGGTGGTGGGCAGCTATGCGAGATGGAAGTGTGCTGGGTGGCAGGTAGAGTTGCGGCAGTGGCGTGGAGACGGTTAGGGTGAGCATGACCTTGGTTTTAAGGGAACGGAGTTGAGGAAGGAGCTGGTGGCTAGAAAGTAAGGGAGGTAGGATGGCTGCGGTGGTGGCAAGGTGGAGGGAAGAGGCCGCAGGGAACAACAAGGTGTTGATTTGTGGGATTGCAGCGAGGGAAGAGGTTGCGGTAGTAAAGGGGCGGGATGTGGGGCAAGGAATGTCAGAGATAAATTCCACATCGGGAGTGAGATACATTCTAAGCGCCACTTGTTCATTGGAAGCAAATCACCATCTTGGAATAAGATTCAATGTGAGTACCACTCACACTTGGGTATAGTTCTAGAAGGGGAAATAGGGGATGCCAACGATTGTCCTGACAAAATCACAACTGAAAAACCGAAAACTAAACACGACAAAAGCACATAAATAGCACTAGGGTAATTAGGAGCGTGCCCCCTCTCATAAGGAGGCGGTAAGCCCATATAAGAAAGGTCAACCGACCCTCAATTCACTGTACTGAACCAGCTTATGCCGCCCAACAACTCCTGCTCCCGCTTTCTGTCTAGAATAGCGACTCCCGCGTCAGTGGGAGCCATGTAGTTGTCATCTTATCACGGACAACCGTCGACTCCCGCATCATTGCTTCTAACCGACTACTATTTATTGCCCTTACATTTTTAATAACTATCAGTTACGTTGATGCCTAGCCTAGGGCAATTTTGTCTTTTATTATATGTATGAATGTATGCGCGCGCGAGCGCGCACACACACACACAGATATATATATA